ATGGAGAGCAGGTGATGCGGCACATCGGCACTGTAGGGAATTGTAGCGCGGCCCATTAAGATCTGATTGTAGCAATCCCTTCACTGCGAAACAGATCGGTGAACCCACATACAATGTACAACGTAGTGCCTGACGCTTACTGTACCGTGAATCCTAAAGATTCACTTTGACGGGAACTTCAAGACTTCTTCGCGAACTCAGATCTTTGCCTCCAGGCAGATTTTTTGTGCGCTGACAGCGTTGCTCGGTTCATAAATCGAACCTTCGTCCGATGAAGCAGATGGTGATGGGTCTAGTAAAAGAGAGCAAAAGCAAGGAAGTCTGATAGAGAGTGAATTGCCGTAAAGAAATGTCACTACTTGAAACGCCAGGGGGCAGGAGCCAGAATCTCAATCGCTCAATCGCTGGACCAAGTTTGAAAGGGCATCAATTTTTTTCATATATTACTTATTCCATCCCAATTACGGCGAATCATCAACATCACGGATATCATGTTTAATAAATCACGATATCCTTTGGTCGACTCTGATGCCATCGCCTTCGATATCCTAATTATCCACGAGGTACGTAGCGGCAACCGAAAACTAAATATGATGCTATCTTAGGTACACCATCGAGACGTTCTTTGCTCATGCTACTAATGCTAGCTAGACATTTAACAGCTTCCTATTAAAGTTATCAACGTCCCAGTATATACTTCCAACTTTTCGGCAATCGGGCCTTGGTCAATAATAAATTTCATGTTTTATCTCATCTCATTCTTCCGGAGACATCCACGTATACAATGGGTTACGGAATTTAAAGAAGAGTTTTGGGGCGCATTGGCGCCTGACCTTGTTCATCATACGTACTCGTCAGGCTCCAGTCATGCGGTTACATTTAAACGCACTGCCAGCTCCTTTGATGAAGGTAGGCTGCGAATTTGATTATCAGGCAAGAAGTCGGAGCAGTGAAATCTTCTCGGTTTGGGCCTAATACCGTGCTCCTATTATAAAAGCATATCGATTTTTCAAAAAACTAATCCCATTGCCAGAATTGGGACAATGTCGAACAGTACAGACGTGGGCCCTACTATTCCCTTCCAGCTCCTCCCCCCATCTATTGCTCTACAAACTCAGATCGACAGCTACATCGATGTAGCATCAACAGCAGTATGTTCCATTGTCTATATGGGGGACATGTACCTACTGCAAATTCTAGATTTTTATTTGGGATATCCTGTCCAATGTCACTGCTGATTGGAAAGTATTTCACACTGCGAAGAATAAACTTCTTCTCGCAGTATACGTGATATCAAGGTATGCGCTGAGCACCCTTGCACTTTATAGAAAAAAATAATGGCATGTAAATAGAATCGGAGCACTGACATTTGTTCTCGGACGAGCAATTTTCGGAAGTCGGTGGGCTTTAACTATTGAAATTGGGACATACTTTTGATAACATATTTTCAGCTTACCCGATAGGCAACTGTAACGCCGCGAATATTGTTATTGACAGCTTCTATCCAGTTGGAATTGCTGGTTCCTGCTTGCTCTTTTTCTTCAGGGCTCGCGCTGTCTACCAGGGTCACAGATATGTGATCGCATTCTTTGCCTTTTTATGGGTTACTGTCCTTGGAGCTTGTATTGTTGTGCCCTTTGGCACGGTTTCAATCAATAATGGACCTACCAAGTACTGCGTATCAACCAATGTGACAGCCTACACCGGAGCAGCAGTCATTGTTCCTACTGTCCATGACACCATCGTCTTCCTTGCAGTGTCCTTCAAGCTCACGGCCTACAGTTTTGCGACCGCTCGTACCTTCCGAGAGCGTTTATTGGGGACCCATTTGCCAGCATTTACCAAGGCAATGTTTCGTGATGGCCAGACTTACTACCTGTACGCCTTCTCGTTCAAATTACCCCTGTTTACTAACCATATTGACGTTGTAATAAGCATAACGGTTCTGGGAAATCTTCTGACAATTTCTTTGATGTATGCCCCGGTCAATGGAGAAGTTCAAACTGCCCTCACCATCCCGAATGTCATGCTCACCAATGTCATGGCGTGCTATGTTTACCGGCATCTTGTCCTTAGTAGAAACCGCAATCCTTATTCAACCGGTACAACAGATGCCAATGTTATACCAACTCAGCAAAATGTTATTCAATTTGCTGCCATGAAGTCAGGTAGCAATGATATTTCCACCACTACCGTCGATGGCATACGGGTAGAAATGACTCAAGTAACACACATGGATGATAAAGAAAAGCAGGGAGAGTCTTTCTCGTCGGTTTGAAAGTTTTATGAGGAAGCCTAGCATACTTACAGTTCCATATTCACTGATAGGGAATACATACTAGTATTTATTTAAATTACTTGTCAGTCGTTGAAGGTTTGATTTTGAGCTCTCCTACTTTTTTAAAGTAAAAGAAAGACACGAGTCCGGATGAAATGAAGAAATTATCCTTATAGTCTGAGTTTATGGACCGTAACAGTGTAACGCTCATTTATAGGAAATTAATTGTCTAAAGGTATCAGCGCGGATGCTTTGATTGTGATTGCATCAAATTTTTTCCTATCTGTTAGACTGTTCCGGCAAAAACTGTTCGACAGCGTCGCGCTGACACGCTGGCAACTCACCGGCATTTGTAAATGCCATAATTTGCATATCCAGCTTCCATATTTGTATATTCACATGCTGGCCCCGCTTTTGGATACTATTGGAACCAAAAGCTTTATGTATTGACAAGCTGTTTGTGAGGTCACAGTGCCACTTGCAGTTGCCATTCGGTCAACTCGCTTCCGTTTCGAAATAAATAGGCTATGCGGCATGTAGTAAAGTTGCACCATGCTATTTGCAAATTCAGATGTTCCACCAGGTAGCTTCTGGTAAATCATTCGCACTAGTGGTAAAAGCATAGAATCTTACTTTGTTTTGGTATACTCAATCAACCTACTCAAAACTGGATAGTGCCTTCCATGATCTTGACAGCCTCTCCAACCAAGTCAATATGGACCACTTCTCCATCGCTGCCTACATCAACAAAAACCCCAATATGACTTTCCCTTCCCATCTCGACACCCTGGATAACCCTAAACTTCCACGAGCCAGGGCCTTTCTTCCTTCCGAGCCACCCACAAAGCGTTGAAGCTGCAGAGCCAGTGGCAGGATCCTCCGCGCTTCCCTCAAACATCCGAGTTCGAATAGTTGTCGCCCCATCGGTATCGACATCCGGAAGAATTACAAAAACGTAGAGTGAGCTAAACCCAGCCCAAGCTCCGAGATGTTCTGCGGGAATTTTAAAGGGAGAAGGAAGGGGTTGTACCCTAGACAGACTGTCTACGGACGAAAGTTGGAACAACATAAATGTCATTCCCTTTACGATTGATGCGACTGCCTCTGGGCCTTCTACGCCATTGACATAGTCAGCCAGTTGGAGACGTGGCTGGACGGCTGGAGATTTGACCTGCGGAGCATAAAAAGGCGCGTGCTCTTTGAAGTCAATCGGGACCTGAAGTTTTACTCCGCCATTCGGTGAGATTGTAACAGGGATTTTCCCTGCTTTCGTGGACAGCGTGAACACTTTACGCGTGGGATAAAGTTGCGATAGGACCCATCCTGCGCCTATGGTAGGGTGTCCAGCAAAAGGAAGCTCCTCGTTAATTGTATGAATGTTGATGGTAAACGGAGCATCAAAGTCTGCAAGGTTCGCTGGGCCACGGTGAATGAAAATCGTTTCCGAAAGATTGAATTCCCGCGCAGCCAGCTGTCTTTGTTCCGGCGTGAGAGGGGCGGAGTTTGCGAGGATAACAGCGAGAGGATTTCCTCGAAAACGCTTCTGCGTGAACACATCGATGGTTTGAAACTCGGCCGAAGTCGACATGATGGTTTAGGTGAAGATTCGCTGCTCGGAGATTGCGTCATTAAATCATTTTCCAATGCCGAACAGTTGTACAGCTAATCGATCAGGTATTAGGAAGAAAGAACAGGACACGGCATGGACTGCTCTAAACAGGTCGGTTCGGCGATGTCTCTCCCCCATACTTAGGGCCATAAGTAATCAAGCAGCTATGTAGGCTCAAACACCACTCTATCAGTCTTCTTGCCGCCAATAAAACTGCATGTCGGGTGCGAGATCATCTCAACAATCAATCAATTGACAAAAGATGATTGCTCGAGGCTCATACATATCCTCGTATCTTCTACGAAAATAGTTCACGTAAGAAGGCCTATCTGAAGATTTTTTAAGAGTACATACCAGGTCTGGAGTCACTTCAGCAATATACAGTAGATCTGGCGATCTAAATTGGCACACCACAGCATTCAAAATTCCATCGATCCCCCCTCTCTCTCCTCGTCGAATATTTCGGTCTTTGGAACCTTCAAATTTTAAAAATGCAGACGCTCTCGCTGAGCGTGGATATATCGAGCTGCGAAAAACGCGAAAACCCTACTTAGAATGCTCTTAAAATGCTCAGCCGGGATCAATCTAGACTCCGAGAGGGTACGGATTTGTATTACTATCCATGCATCATGTTGGTCAATCCTGCGCGTTTACTGACAAACATCTCGACCCATCTTTCCGTTTATTCCGCCTTTCAAGTATGACTCGACACAACTACTTCACCAGCGACCACCGCGCTAAAAATACTTCAAACTAACACTCAGATGATCAATCCGATGGGGTGATACAGAAATCCACCAGCATGCGGCGACTTGATATTGATGCAGGTGGGTGCAAGGAGCGGAGAACAAAGACGGTTAATAATTGTGTCGTCTGGGGGTGTCATGAATAGATATTGGTAGTGATAGTGATAGTGGTGCGAAGAACACTGAAATTAAGATTACCAGGCAGGACTCGAATGAAAATAACTAAACAAATATACTTACCAGCTTGGATATATTCTATACATTAAATTCGCATGAGCACACTGTCCGTTAAGTGAGATGAACAGAGAAAAAGGAGAGACAGAAAGAAAGAGAGAGAGGAAATAAAAAAAGACAAAAAAATCGGAATCTCCCTGGCTGGGAGTCGAACCCAGCTTTCGCGCGGCAACACCCTTTTGACATTTATGACAGGCGCGTGTACTAACCGATATACTACCAGGGAGTTGAACTTTCTGCCGATAAAATAGTAGCATATATTAGATATCTTTTGCAAAAGTGAAATGCACATACCTACAATCTCCCGACAGACCGCTTTATACAAAGCACTGGAGGTAGTCGACAAAGAAGGAACAATTTCATCGAAAACGATAACGCGAACGTTACATGAACATATGTACAATGATTATCAACATTCGGTGGCCATGTACATTTGCTATATGTTACGTATCCTATAGGTTATAAGCCCACATACTCACTCGACACATCAGAAACGGATCGACTGCAATCAGAGTATATAGGTGGCAATCACAAGCCACCCTCCTTCCCCATCCACCTTTTTCTACACCACCAACGTCTACGCCTTAACACCGACAAAGAACAACCCCCTCTTCGCAACCTCCACCGCCTCCTCCAACTCCCTCATATCACCCGCTGTCCACCTAATCTCTTGCACTTCCACAGCCCCTGCACCTACCGCGTCTCCAACCCCCTTTCCATCCACACCAACCCCACCCGCTCCCACACTCACTCCGCCTCCGATACCGCCCGATCCGCCCTTCCTAATCGCACTCTCAAACGCAGCTTTCCTCTTAGCCAGCTCACTCATCTTCCTGGGATCACTGTGCCCCGTGAAGATGAGCAGCGCCGTACGCGGAGGCAACGCAGCGTGCATCGTCGACAGGTGCGTAGACATTGTTTTTAAAGCCTCTGATAGAGCCTCCGGTGTTGGGTCCGCAGGTACTGGTGCGGGCGCCGGAGGTTGGGGCGGTGCAGATGAAGGCGTCGTCGTCGTTGCATCCGAAGAATCATTAGCGTTGTTACCACCATTTCCCCTCGGCGTAATCCACCCCCTAACCCCCGCAATCCCCATCAACCTCACAAACACAAAATCATGACTTCCCACCACCTCCCCAAACTTCTCCACCACCTCCGCATCATCCTTACACCCCACACTCGTACTCGCCTTACTCCCGTGCATCATACCCACATTCGCACCCACATCCACCACCGCAGTCCTAATCCTCTCCCCAGCCGTTCCGCTACCACCCCCACCACCCCCCGCCGTATTCCGACGTTTAACAGCCCTCCCCATCCGATCAAACAACCCCTCCAAATCAGCCCTCCCCAAATCCCCAAAGTCCCTCCCGCCCTCGACCTTCTTCCTCACCAAATCCATCGCAGCCCGGGCATCCTCTTCGGGATCGTGTCCCCCCTCTCCGCGGTTCTGAATCTCCCTCCCGCACCATTTCCTCGTCAACCACGCTAAGCCTGGTTTCAGAGGTCTCCCTCGTGGATGAGAGTAGATAAGTGCGGTGTCAACGCAGAGAGGGTGTGCGATTTTGAGTGCTTTTAGGTCAGATTCGAGGGAGTGCCCAAGGAGGATGGGGGTCAGTGCGAGTGCGGGGGGAGGAGGGGCAGATGCGGGCTGTTTAGTCGAGAACGGGTTGGGTTTGGGTGGAGGCGGAGACACAGGACTAAGGAATTGCAGTACGCGCGCTTGGGCTTGGGCGAACGTTGTCGTTGCGGTAGAGAGTGCTTCTTCAGTGATTCCTGACCATCTATTGATTCAAACGCGTTAAACCGAAAAAAATGGAGAGAAGGAATGAGTTTACCTTGTGAGATAATCCGTGATAGGTTTACTTGGCTTGACGAGCTGGTCATACACGACGAGTTGAGTATCATAATCGATCATACAAACCCTCGTCAGTTCTTTTCCGTCCTCCGTCATGCACTGTACACCGAAAAAGAAACAACTTAGCGGGCCGGAAATAGAAAACCGATATAATATATACCATTTCACAATCTATACCATAGGCCTTCCTCCGAGCACCAGGCGTTTCCTCTTGGCCAGTCTGCTTGGGTTCCTGAGGGGTCTCAACCCATCCCGGGGGTCTGTCGTTATCCACATCAGCCATATAGGACGGAATCGGGTACTCGTTTTCAATCATTTGCTCGACGGTGAGGATATATTCCGACGGGTTTTTCGATCCAGGTTCTGCTGAGCAACGGACAGGATTAACTTAACAAGAACATTCCCCCAAAGCATAAAGAAAAAAGTAACAAAAACGCACAATTTTTTGCTTTCGCTTTTTCCTTTTCCTGCGCTTCCAGTCTTCTCTTCTTCTCCGCTCCGCTAATGGGAAGATTGAAAAACGAACTGAGGACACTGTGCATTCTCGTCTGGTCTCCCGGTGCTCGTGTGGGACATGCATGGCTGAATGTCGACGAGATGAAGGGGACGCTCAATGGCGTTGGCTTCGACGGATCAGGGCGAGGCGGAAGGGGAATGGATAATGGCATGTTTGGATTCTTGAGCGCGTTCGTTGGCGGGGGTGGCATACCGAGTACATCTGGAGTTAGACCAGGGACAAGAACAACGACAACTTTTGGGATCATATGTGAATTCTATATAGCGCGATAGTTAGAAAAAGTAAGAAAATTTGAAAACTACTTGAACCGCTCCCTACCTCGACGCGAATCCAATTCGGAGGGGGCGCATCAGCGACGATATGCAGCGCCAAGTCTCTGATTTCCTCAACGCCAATAGCCTTCTGTCTCTGCAATATATCGCCATTTGAATACATGAACCTCGGCTGCATCGACGCTTCTGCCTTTTGAGCTTTTTTCTTCTTTCGTTTTTCTACTTTTGTCCATTCAGCCGCTGGTTCATTGTCGCTTGTGTCCGGACTCAGCTTGACTTTTTTACTTTTTTGTGGATCGGGAGATGAGGGAAGGGACGTCGTTGAACGCTTCATACCGCGTTCGCCGTTATGGACGTCGCGGCGTAAAAGTGATATCAAGGTGCACATGATCATTCTCAGTGATAAGATAAGATAACAAGTCTACAGATGATTAGATTAAATAACAAGATGTTGCGCTTGCATCCTCCCTTCATCAACGCCTTCAACCTTTCTACGCGTACGATCTTCATCAAAAACATGCATCTATGCGCAGTATTTCTGACCAGATTTATGTAAGTTATTCAAACTCACTGAAGAGATTGTTCCCCATCGTAGCTTTTTATGTCTTGAAGTCTTGGATCGCCATCTTCCGACGTCTTATGCCAGCCCTTACTGTATCGAGGCCAATTCCTGGCCAAATTCAAGCCTGCTCACCCGCGGTGGCTTACTTATGCACGTACACATGGTCACATACAAGCCCTGGGGGGTAAGGAAGGCGAACAAGGTTTGATAGGTACAGCTTCCCAGTAAATCTCAGCCAAGAATAAGTGTACATCGCGCTATCCCTGATTTCACGGCTTAGCTCAAATACATAGCATTGCAATAAGGTCCACAAACAGACTAAAGCTGCTAGATGGGATGAACAGGTACTCAGCGCTCAGCGTTCAGCCTACACAGCTGTAATGTCCGGGTCGGCCATCAGCGTACTTTTGCTTCTTTTAATCGTTCACCTTGGTCTTTCCTGATGACTAGCCTGAATGCTGTCAGATGTGCTACTATATACAGCGACAAGGTCGCAACTTCCCTCCCTCGCTCGATATCTCCCATCATGTCGCAGGAAAGCGTATCTTCGTATGTTCCAATTAGCAGGCAGAAGCTCGCTTTTGAAGCTCATTTGACAGATTTTTCGCTAATGCTGCGAGGCCTCGCTTCGATAATTGCAGTTTCATCGCTACCAGTGAGCCTCACTGCGTGACCTGCTCCAGACCACCTTCTACAAACACCAACTCTGCGGTTATGCCCATACCTACCCTGCCGTTGCCGATATATAACGAACGTAAACCTCCTGAATCTACTGCCCAGGTGTATGCGCGCACACTGCTACTTGCAAAGAGAGGGTATCCTCTGTGGAAGCCAAGAGCCCAAGGAGCGCACTTACCAGAGGCTTACAAACGAGAAGGCGCTCGTATTGGAGATGTCGGGATCTTGAACGAATTTGGGGGTTTCACCTATCTCTTCAATGTATTCCACTCTGCAGATCATGCGATCAATGCGGGCAGAGTTCCTCCAAATTTTCGACCTCTCCCCAAGGATATTTACTACCATCATATTGAAGAAGTACCAGAAGAATTTGAACCGGGATCCCACGTCGCCAGCGAGGCTTCTGAGATTTCCAAGAACCATATTCCTTTTCATCTCGGCCAAACGCAAGTCCCGTATGAGTTTCTATTGTTTTTGTCCGATTATCTATTGATTTGAATTTTATTATATCTACAGAGGTGTTCCGGAGGAGATTGGCGCCGGGTTATCATATATCTCATCGGCGACCCAAGGTGCCTTGCTCATCTTACCAGAGGGAGGGAAGAGAATAGATCACATGCAGTCATCTGCGCTCTACCAATACACCGTGGAATGTGCACAATCCTGGTATGACTTTGTCAACGGCGACCCTCCGGACGGTTTGGCTATGGGATTAAAGGAAGGACTATATTTTGTCACTGGCTGCGACAAAGCGCGCGCTTGGGGCGTAGCATCATTCAATAATGCAAGTCCTCAGCAAAGGCCAGTCCGCCTGGACTTTGTTCCGAAGCCTGCTGGTCACATCGGTGGGCCACCAAAATACAGATTTGGTAGATGTGAGTATGCAGCGACTTCAAGCGATGCAGATATCTCTGGAGTACCATCGGGCTCTGTCTTTCTTCGTGGGTTAAGAATAGCCATCCGAAACCGCACAAGAAATCCATTCATGATATCTACTGAAGTGACAGATATTCGCCATATAGATATCGAAACATTTACTCAGAAAACTGACTCCATTAATATTCCTTCGCTAGACTCTGTTCAGGGTTTTTCCTCTGTCGATTGCTGCTTAGAGACCAGCTATCCTGTCCGATATCAGGTGGGTAGTCAAAGATCTAAAATCGCCTGGAAATGTAATTTACTTGTTAAAAATCCAGGTGAATCATCCTTCGGATACCATCAATCGGTGGATATTGGACAATGTAGGTTTGAATGCTCAGATGCATTTGAATCGATCCAATATTTTCGTGCTCTAGCATGAGGAAGTGGATGTCGCAATTACTCACGATGACGACTGGGCATC